ATCCAGGTTAGGTCTAGGTGTTGTGTTATTTTCCACATCTTGGGTGCCTGTACACAAATGCAGAGACCGCTCAAGTAATTGAGTCTGCTGGAGCGTGGTAATTACTGCACTCCAGCCAACTTCCACATCTCGTGTATCAGCGTCCCTGCACTTCAGAATGGTGGTGGGGGTGCTTGAACTAAAGCTCATTGAATGACCTTTAGTCGAAGCACCCCTGCCACCATTTTGAAGCGCAGGGACACTGATAACCCGAGACACTGCAGTGCTCTAATTAAAGCACCGCCCCCTCCCTACCACGCCTGCAGCACATGTAAAAGTACCCCTAAAGTTCACCTTTTCCCAACAGGAATTAAGTGTTTTCTAGCAATTGTTTCCCCCACTCTAAAGGATTTATCAAGGACTAGACAGGTAAGCAAGAATGAAAGTCATGAGCAGCTTCTTTTTCTCTTCACATCCCTATATAGTGTGGATAGAGAGCAAACCCTGTCTCTTAGTCGCTTCTTGTTGTTATCCTATTTGGTGCAAGCTGCCTGAATATGAATTCTGTGAGGCTACAAACCTATCTGGGCATGAACTTAGTCAGGTCATACCAGCATGTGCTGTCTGGGAGCCGTAAGAAAGCTTGGGATTAACTGGTCCAGCATTTCACTAGGGCACAGCCTGCAGTGCAGCCCTCTTACATGTGAAGGCATCAAGAGCACAAGTCAGCCCTGCACTCATAGAGATTTTATAGTGCAGCCCTTATGATATGTATTGATCTAGGAGATTTGAGGTGTAAGGGAGCTCATAAGTCATGCCACCCAAGTCTACTCCAACTCAACTGCACTTATTCTACTTGCTTCAGCTCTATGCTTTCCCTCCTCCCCTCCTATCTTCATTGTCCAAGACCTCAACAGTATTCCTAGATATTCAGTAAACTCTTCTATCCATTTTAAATACTCTCTACATCTCTCCTGCATGATCTAGGGTTACATTGAATCAGAAAAAGAGCAGGTGCTGAAGGTTTATTACCTGCCTGGAGTGCCTGAGGTCTTCCACAGGACATTCCAGATACAAGTGGCCCATCTGGAGTCTGAGAGCATCACCCTCAAAGGAGAGGGGACCTTTCCCAGAATCTGCTTAGACCTGCCCAGAAACATCAGAGGTAGGACTTTCTGCATAATATGTGTCTTCTGTCCAGTGCTATACCCTCTTAGTGAAGACTCCCTCACCTCACTTTCACAGAGCAACATCACACATCTCTCCAAAACATGCAAGTTCCTGGGCACAAATTATTCAGGGGGTTGGCAATCGAATATTCAACCTTTTGACAGCATTATTTAGCATATTTATTGAGTATTAGCACAGTAATAAACACAGAGAGTGTGATCTCTGCCTTAAGGATAATACCATCCAGATTGCCAGACGATATTATAGAAGCCCTAAAGGGCACGGGTAAGCAAGATGCTTTCTGGGAAGGAGGAGAAAAGGGCAGGGCAGTGCAGAGCATGACAAGTCAGTGAAAATGAAGAGTAGATACTTACACTTGATTAGGAGGATGTAACTAAGCAGAGGGCTTCAGGTAGGGAGTTTTTCATGTTCTGCCCATAATGCGACTGGGGAGTCATTTTCATGGCAGCCTTTAGGATGTGCTAAAAGAGGATTGAGATGGGAAGAGGGGTTGAGGGAG